TTGTCTCACAGACTAGAGTTCTCGCACCGAAACGACGGATGTTCAGCAACCCACCATTAATACGGTGCTCTACACAAACACCGTAAGCACAAGCGGCATCAAAAGCACACGACATCATGGCATGAAGATGTATATTAAGCAGGGCAGGAGCTAAGACACAGCCTTGCTTAACACCAGAGACAACTGCAAAGTCATCCGAGGTCTCTCCACTCAGCTGCACCTTCGCTCGCAAACCACTGTGCAGACATTCAATTAAACTTACAAACTTACGTGGGCAACCAACACCAGCCACAATGCCTCGCGGTTCACCGTATCAAATGTCTTGGTGAAATCAACAAAAAGTGAGTACAATGGCTGGTGTCGTTCTCTACACTTCTTCTGCAACTGACGTTCCGCAACTATTCCACGCTTGAAACACCGGTTCTCTTCCAATCACCGAAGTTAAGCAGTGGGTGACCGGCTGGGAATACCGGGTGTTGCGGCCGTTTCGGCTCGTGGCCGAAAGATAACCCGGAGCGCGTGAGTTCGAGCCTTCGGGGGGACCAGGCTACCCTCACTGTATCCTCAACCCATCGCAATGAGGCTAGACCTTAACGTGTTGCGATGGTTTGTGTGCCTCAGTGATCCATTGAGCTATGCTGGGTGGTCCTTATTTGCACCTTCAGAGCCACTCATACCGGATTGGTCAATGGTTAGAGGCAAGACAGACTCAGCCTCCTGGTCCTCCAGGTTGGGGGTTGGAATAAGGGTGGCACCTTATTCCTTAAAACGGACTCCTTGAAGCCCAACGCCAAACCCGCTACCTTGAGGTTAAGTTTTTGAATCAAAGGCTTTGGTTGAGAACCCTAATCGTTCTCCTGTCTAGGCCTGGGCAGCCTGACAGTATTCTGCCCACGCAATACAATGAACCCTTCATCAAACAATTTCTTGATGCTCTGGCCGGCGCAGAGGATAATAAATGACGCCGTATCTGCTGCATCGAGCAGGGTGGACAGGAGTTTGGATGCCACTGCTCACGCCTTCCCGTCTTTTTATTCCCCCTCTTACGCTTTTTCACCCTTATCGTCCCATTCCAGCTTCACTTTTATCCCCGTTTTCAACCCTTCAATTCTTGGCCCTCCCTCACCTTGCTTTGCTAGACTTTTACCTTCTGGTTTCAACTCACATGTGAACGCGGAGCGTCCTTCCTGCCCTGTCAACAGGCCCATGTCTACGCAAACGGTCAAGCCCACTTCATCGGCTTCCATTTGGAGCCCTCGATCCTCCTTCAGATTGGCATGCCTCAATGTTCGCACATTGCTTCAGATCGGTCAACATTCAGCACTTGCCCGAACATTAGAGACCCTCTCGATCGATATCTGCTGATTATCGGAGACCAGCCTGCAAGACTCGAGCTCTGTGCTCACTCAGCCGTCCCCTTCAGGTGACACTAGCAGCACTTTCCAATTACGCCTATCCGGTGACGAGACAGCTTCGAGTACCGGCCGAGCCGGTGTTGGTATTTTCCTGATTCTCCGGTCTGGAGCTGCTCTGGTTGATTGGATTCTAATCAATAGCCGGATGTGTGTTGTCCGATTGGCTGTCTCGTTTAAAGCTTCGAAGCCGCACGCAACCAACACGTGTCGCTATCGCTGCCTATGCATCCACAAACTCTAGCGATGACTCGGTGAAAGGCGACTTCTATCGTCAGTTGACCGAGCTCCTTAGCCACAGAAGAACCTCGGACACTATATTGCTGGCTGGGGATCTGAATGCTCAAGTTGAAAAATTATCCACTGATGCACTGCATCTGGGCGGCCAACATGGTGTAGGATCCCGTAATGATAACGGTGAGCGGTTACTTCATTTGTGTGAAGGTGCTCGCTTATTTCTTCTCAGCACTAATTTCTGGCACAGCACCCGCCAGAGGGTGACTGCGCTCACCAGCCTCGAACCAGCTATGGACGCAAATCGATCACATTGCGATAAGTTATCGATGGAGAGGCTGCGTCCAGAACTGTCGCTCGATTTGGAGCACAGGTGTGGACACCGACCATGCACTTGTATGTGCTGACCTGCGGATGCGCTTTGGCGGACACCCGCGACGATGTTGTGAGCGCATTGACACCAGCCAACTGGCGAAGCCAGCTGTTCTGAATGCCTATAAAAGTACGCTGTCATGCGAGTTGGATAAACGCTCACTGGATGCAATTGAAGCTCACTGCTCTCATATACACCAGACCTTATTCGCAGCGGGAAAATCCTCATGTGGTAAGTCTAATCGTCAACATGGACATTGGGTCTCTTCGCAGTCTCTGAAACTTATCGATGCTTGCCGGCATATTCCGACTGGAAGCGAACACAATGAAACTCGCAAAGATGTTTCGGGCAAAACTCCGTGCTAGTCTGAAGAGACTGCTAATCTTAGTGGTCTCATCATGCATCGGAGATGGAAGTGGCCGCTGTCCTTGGTAACCATCGTAAGTTATTCCGTCTGATGCGGGAAACGGGCAGCAGAAGACCTGGTGTTAGTGAAACAATTTGTGAGGAGAGTGGACAGCCTATCCACAATTTGTTGGGATGAGCACTTTGAAAAGGCATTTAATCGGCCGAAATTGTGAGATGTCTTGCCGGCCAGTGATCGCCCCTGCTCCGTGGGCTGTCCCTTTGGATTCACCTTTCTCGCCTCAGAAGTCGAACGTGAGATCAAACTGTTGAAGTTAAATAAAACCGCGGGGCCACTCAGCCGTGTTCTAATTCGGTTGACCTGCTCTTGTAGATGATTTATGCGAGTTACTAGTGTAACTATGGGAGCAGGAAGCTGTCCTAACCGAATGGAGCCGCTCCGTCCTAGTCCCAATTTTCAAGGGTGGCTCATGATCAGAATGCGGCAACCATAAAGGAATCAGTCTGATCTCCATCGCCTCCAAATTGCTTGCTTCTGTCGTCCTTCACAGACTATCACTCGTGAAAGCCAGATTCGTGAAGAGTAAGCCGGGTTTCGTCGAGGTCGTGGCTGCATTGACCACATCTTCACCTTGCGTCAGTTGTTGGAGCACCGTCACATCTATTGGCGACCCACCGTTGTCGTGTTCCTCGATATCAAAAGTGCATTCGATTCGGTGGATAGACGTGTACTTTGGGATTGTCTACTCAGGAAAGGTGTACCTGAGAAATATGTAAATATTATCCGAGCCTTATACGCGCGTAGCTCGGGCAGATTGAGGGCTTACGGCAAACTGTCGTCGCCCTTTAATATCTCCAGTGGTGTGAGACAAGGATGCCCGCTGTCACCTTTCCTCTTCAACTTCGCTGTTGATGAAGTCATGGCAATTTTTTATCTAATCTCAGTGGCTGTAATGCGTTTTGCTTCTGCCGGTTTTGTGTGTTCTTTTCCAAGTCTATCTTTTCATCAGGCTGTCGACTACATTGCTTTCCTTATGTTAACTGGACCTCCACAGTCAGTTGTCTCTTGCGTTCCTCGGCCTGTGGAGTCGAATTTCTTAGCTGCGGTGCACAATTTACCAATTGACTACATCGTGGGTTCTTTTCTTGAAGGGTGGACGCTAAATCTGAGGCTTGTACTATGCATTACTGTCAGGCGTGACTCACTTAACCAGCAGTCGCTTGCGTACTAAACCGATGGCATTCGTCTGAATTGCATCACCGATTTGCAGACATCAAGAATACATCGATACTCCACGCCGCTGGGCATAATGCGAGGTCACTAACGACAACTCGCATTCGAGCCATTGACCCAGGGATTACAAGGTAAACACTCCATGCCAGTAACTGGTACCGTTCCTTTACTTCCACAGAGCAATGGGATAACCCTTCCGCTGAAGCATTTTTAGAGGGGCCTGAATGCTCTAGGAGAACGTTTGTGTTTGGCCAACAGCACATAGTTACAAACAGTTAACGGTCCGGCGGAGATAATGGGATATCAACGAGATAGCTCCCTTGTTCCTTTCACTAACTCTCCAGATTAAATCTTAGAGACAACACATCCTCATGCCAAATGTGACTGGCTGCGGTGCATATCTCGAGGCATCTTCTTTAAGGCCCCGAGCCAGGCACCATGTACACCGCGTGAACCCCAACTTTAAGTGAGATAGCTCAACTATTTTCCATCTACTAGTCCGTTACATCATCACTCCCCCCACCAAGTTAGGGATTAGCCCTCTCGAATCTTTTACCGTCCCATAGCCGGCAGACAAAGCCAGACATTCCGCGGTCAGCAGCTTACTAAGTGTATGCTGCTCATACCAAAAGCAACGCAGCTTAGTCTGATTCGCTGCTGTAGTGACTTAACCTGACTATTACCGCGTCTTGCGTGCATCTCGTCCCTGTAGATACACTGCTTTCCCTATATGTCATCAATACTTTGTAATCAGATATAGTCAAAAACGTGAAAGTGTTTAAGAATTCAGATCAAATCAGCCGATCCACTGCAAGAAAAAGGGCCATCGCCAGATTCCATGAGATCCTTGTCTGTCCCCATCGTTACTCATTGGAACCATTGGTCATGTTAAAGTTCTGCTGACTTGTATCGCAGCATCGCTAAAGACAGTGTAATGCGGACTTCATTGGTGTTCCGATAGCCAGTAAATCCGATCGCAGCCACTCACTTTTCAACCGCATTATCGCTTTCCTCTGTTCTACAACTTCCAGTTTAAATATCTCTAACGCTGTTCTCCCCGCTACTGTTCTCTTCTCAGCCACAGTCGGCCCGTAGCCTTAAGGATCACAAACCTACCTTGTAATCCGAGGGCACGGGTTCGAGTCTGCGTACGGGACCGTACGATCCTCGCAGTATCCTTATCCCAAGTGCGACTGGTGGTGGTTACCCGTCAGCGAAGCATCGGTACTGCATACCGCCATACCGCTGATGCCTCTGAGCCTCAGATATGTGTGCTGTCTTGTGAAGCTACTTATTCAGTCGTTCCTGAGTAAGCATACTTCCCTGTTACTGATTCAAATCTCCTAATATTTGCTTTTTTTACTCTTATCCTCTCTGTCAGGTACGGTCTGAGGGTCGATTCGACCCCATACTGCGTCAACCAATCAAGGGGCGCAAAGTTGGCGGTGGTATCCGGCTCGGGGAAATGGAGCGCGATTGTTTGCTATCTCAAGGCTTGTCATTCACATTGCAGGATCGTATGGTGGACTCCAACTGCGACACTGTGACAGTACGTACTTGATTCTTTTTTTGCACTTTAGTCTACTAAACTACAAGGTCTGTTTGCTCATATTCTGACATGCGTTTTACATAGATTAACTTTCCGATATAAACCTTTGTCAGTCGCCAGAAGTGCAGTACCCTACAAGTCCTTTCATCTTGCCCCATTTCCCACTTCAAACATGGGCGCGAGCCGCCTTTGCCTGATACGCCACCGTGACTGATGTTCGTACTTTACCTCTGTTAAATCTTTCGTTTTTCCTCCTTAATTAATTAAAAGTCTTCATAAAAAATTTCATCCTAAACTAACACCTTTTGTTAGTTATTCCTTTGACCGGTGGCCGACAGGATATGGCGCCTGTCTTATAATTCACAGGCCACCGGTTCGAGTCTGCGTAGACGCGAACATCCCCGCAGCACCTTTGCCTACGCGGGAGTGGTGATGTCCAGGTGGCTGAGTACTGCTCATACCGGTTTCCTGTGTATATTAACAGCGCGTCTTGGCAATACATTCACCTCTAGGTTGTTCCGAAAGTAATCTGTTGTTTTCAATGGAAGCTACATACCCCACAAGAGGCTGCCATTATCATCCTACTACAATCGTCATCTCAGAGTCTTGCCACAAATCGCGCCAACATCCGGACTTAATCATTCTTCTTTTACACACGCCATCCACCGAAATGGCTGGTCTTTTGCAGCTTGTACATCGTTCTTGGCCTAGAAGCTAATTCAAGTTGGTTCATCGCAATTAGATTCCAAGCCACATAGGTAATCTACCGATCCGGAACGGCACCAGCCGCACGTTTCGCCCTATTGGGGCTCGTCAGTAGTGCGCATTCATCGGTCCCCTACTGGAGATCGAATCCATGACTGCTAGAGGCTAACGCCAACTAGCCAGCAGCTTATGCCACTGAGCCATGGGGGACGACAACCGACCATTACGAATTGAAACCTAACTGCGATATAGCCCGACCCATCCTCCACTGCCGTGCAGGTTATCGCCCGTGCAGAGGCTAGTGGTTGGCCGTCACGATCAGGTCTTCCCTTGTAAGCGCCGTGAATCCACACGGCAATTTTGGATACTGGTAGGGCTTAGATTTTTGATTACGAATGCATAGACGGTCGGGCTATGTCGTAGTTAGGTTTCAGTTCGTAATGGTCGGCTGTCGTCCCCCATGGCTCAGTGGCATAAGCTGCTGGCTAGTTGGCGTTAGCCTCTAGCAGTCATGGATTCGATCCCCAGTAGGGGACCGATGAATGCGCACTACTGACGAGCCCCAATAGGGCGAAACGCGCGTCTGGTGCTTTTCCGGATCGGTAGCTTACCTATGCGGCTTGGAATCTAACTGCAATGAACCAACTTGAATCATACCGAAATCCGTCTACTCATTCGTAATAGAAGATAATTGTCAAAAGACTTTGAACTTGGCTGGACCCTCGCCGTTTTTCGACGGCGTTGCAATGAAACCCCGGTTCTCGGCCTGTGTGCATCAAGTAATCATTGCACCTCTTTGCGGGAAAATCGTAATGTAACCACAAGTTATTATTCAGTGTCTATTGTTCCGGTGCCTCCTCAAACCGTGATCCGACCTCATGTCATTCTGGATTTCGCTGTTTGTTTCCGATGATTTGGAACCAGAGTTTTGTCACCTTTTTCCACGGTAATTCTCCCCGTATTATTATGTTCTGCCACAGGTGGATGACAACTCTGTTTCTGTGCCTAACCTGGTTCTTACTCGAAGTCAATGAGGTTATCGCATTCGGTCTGCGGTTTGTAACTTAAATTTCCAATCCACCGATTCTGGCCTCTACTAATGAGTAAAAGGATTTTTGGTGAAAATTTTCCTGTTCGTTACAGCAACCAAGTGATTCGGATAATCACCAGACGGTAGTTTCGTTCTACTAAAGTTCGTCGGAGGTGCGCATTCCTTCGGTCCCCTACTGGGGATCGAACCCTTGATCGCTAGCAATTTGCTATGCTAGCCAGTAGCTTATGCCATTGCGCCATGGTGGTCAGTTCAGACCATCACAATTTGCAGGGTAACTGGGAGGTAGCGCGACCTATCTCCCACTATCACTCAGGTTGTTGCCATTGCGGAGCGCAGTGGCCGGCCTCTCAATGTTACGACTTCCGCAACACAGCAGTTATGTACGCATAGCATTTTACAGATTGTGGGTTACGAATTTTGATTGTTCATCAATAAGAGGAATTTTGATGATAAATTACAGCTTCTAACCTTTGTTTTACTTATCATTCCCCGTTTCCCTTTGCTTTTCGCCATTTTTCCGCTTCCACTGTTTGTTTCAAAATACTGGCACCTTTTCTGGCATCTAGATTTTACTTTATTCCTTATTGGATCATGATTGGTTGCTTGAAGTAAACTTTTCTTTTCCGCAATCAGATCTCGACTTATTTTCCGATATCATTTTGCCTTTATACCTTTTAGCATTACATTTATCATCAACCTACCGTGTTCCATATTTTACTCTTCGTCTTCCCTATCAGATGCTTGCTTGCACTAAGTGCGGTGGCTTGGTACACTCCGATTTGGCCAGAAATGTTGATCCCTCGAACTCATCGAATCTGGCTCTGATGGGCACAGCACCCGGTATCGGTGGATCCCGATCAGCCAACAACAACAACTTCTTTGATCCAAATCTCTGGAGTTGTCGATTGTGTGATCGGGCCGAGGAAAATTTTGTCTGTGATACCACCGAGACGACCAAAACGAAACGGCATTTGAAACGAGTACGAGTATCCGCCGCCTTCCGCTATCTCACCTACGAGTTGGCGTGTATGAATATACAAACACAGTTGACTGTGGGCGACTTGATGTGAACATACCTTTTCACTTGTAATGCCAGAGTGTTGTACAGTATCAGATAAATAAACCATGTATCATTCCGATCATTTCTTGTCTTCCAACTTTGCTACGGAATACTGACTTCCGTGCGACAGACCGCACGATTCTCCTCGGTGCGTCTTCTTTATTATGGATCGTTTTTGCGAAACTACTTGGTCCAGTACCCCTTGGCAATCTAACCGTTCATCCTTTCTAGCTGTTACTCATGTAGATATCCCATCGCAGTACTTTGTCTTTTTTGCTTGGCTGGCTAATCCTCTTGACCGATTCATCAAACGGCTTTGCCGTTCAGCTCAGTCCCGTTTTTTTCGCTAGGATCCGCACACTGAGTTGCAGTGAATCAATTTGGCTTAACTAATGACAATAAACGTGATAAAGATAAATTTCTTCAACTGTGATCCAACTGATCATCAATAACTCTGTTCTTTCAACCTCTTCCAAAGTGGAACTTGTGCCTAGAGAGACCTTTCTCATGCGGACGTCATAGCTCTCCTTGAAGGTGAGAAACACACCTCAGCTAATGTACCGCAATACAAAAGGTAGGATACCAAAAAAGTTACACTACAAAAAATTCAAACTCAAGTACTATAATGTAAACTATTTTATTATGCATTTCGTATGAGATCGGAATTGGAGGGCGAATTTAAAAGGTAGGGGATGGACAAAGGAACTCACAACACAAACGCCATTGGGGCCGGCTCCAAGCCATATCAGCAAGTGTGTCCAACCAAACGTGTTCCCTGTCCTTAGGACCCCAGACTGGCAGTCGGGATGTACCAATCGACGCCAACTTTGAAGTGAACGTTTTCATTTCTCTCGACCAAGTCATCGCTTTGCCTCCTCTTCCAACCGCACACCCAGCGCGCAAGCAATGCACATCACGGGAGTCGGTGTGCTGGCATGCGCATCACGTGGCCCAGCCATGGAACCTGGTGCGTGAAATAACGATACTGATCGGTTCACTCGCTCTTCCTACACCAAATACGCGACGCCGGACACGCTCATTTCTCACGCGGTGCTTCCATCAGACATGAGGTAGGCTACGAAGACGTGAATCGGATCTAATGGCTATGCAGCCACTACTTGATAGGCTGTCTCTTAGCGCTGCACGTTTCGGTATACGTGTTGTACCTTTGAACTGCAAAATACAGTTGCAGGACTTGCCCGATCAGCTGATGGTACTAATTATCAGCAAACAGCACTGTAACTGGTTGATCGGTTCAGTTCCCTTGATAGTTGTGTCACCTATGATGGTCACATCACTGAAGAAGTTATCTCGCGGATCAGAAAGCCCGTGTGAATTTTCTGAGGCTCAATCATCTGTTGAGGCGGAAGGATATCAGCATTTCATTGAAAACTAGAGTGTGTATCGCTAAGATGATGCCGCTTCAATTGTGTGGATCCGAGACCTGACTGACAGCCGTCGTCCATAGGCTCCTTTGGCAGGTTGAAGTTCTCCAGAACCAAGTCAAACGGGAGCTCGGCAAGCTTTACTTCCTCTGGTTAACACAGCGTTGGCCGTAGCTTGTTTGTATGGCGATACCAGGTCTGCGTCCACACAATTACTTCATACATGACATTCCCGCTCTTGCATTTGATCTGGAGAGGTGTCCAATTTGTGTGAACTGCCCGATACTTCCATACTAGCACTGTCTACCCTGGCGTAAACGATCATTGCTTAGCTCTATGCCGCCGGTTAAAATCCAATATCATTATGCGGTTCCTTTCGCACTATGCTTGGTCGAATGGCAACGAACCGTATTCGCAGTTTTCTGTTCATCATAGCCTGTTCTGGTGATACTCCCTTCGGCTCCATTTGGCTTTGATCGGTATAGGAATAAGAATCGATCAATCAATCAATACTTTCGTCCGCTTTTGATTTGAGGAGAGCTCGCTTGAAAGTATCCACGAATTTTTCTGCCTGGCCATTTGATTGTGGATGAAACGGTGGTGACCGGATGTTCCGGACGGCTCATTGTCTGCACAACCCCGTGAAAACTGCGGAGGGTACCGGTGTGCCGTTATCAGTTACAAGTGTCTCTGGACAGCCGAACCTAGCGAAAATTTGTCGTAGTTTTTCTTACAATGGCTTGGGTCGATATGCTTTTCATTAGGAGCACCTCAGACCATTTGCTGTAAGAGTCGACAGCAATGAGAAAACTCTGGCCGTTGATCGGTCCGGCGAAATCGACGTGGACACGATACCATCGTTTTTCGGTTTCGGCCATGAATGCAGTTCCATCTTTACCGGTGCCCTTGAAGCCGTAGCGCATTTGTGGCAACTTTTAGCCATTTCTTCCAGTTATCTGTTCATGAATGGCCAGTACACAAAGCTTCGATCAAGCGTCTTCATCCGGTTGACCCCAAGATGTCCTGCATGAAACTGCCTATGTACGAGCTTTTGTAGTGCCTTGGGGATGACAACTCGACCTAGCTGTACTCTGTAAGGAGGCCAGCTTTGTTTCGCTCTCAGTTTGTCTAGACTTTCGAAAGCGTTTGTTGTCCCTAGAATACCTTATATCGCGATATCTATTTATCCATTATCGTCAAACTTACATTTTTGCTCCGCTTATATTTTCTTTTCGCTTGTCCCCTTTCTTTGGACATGGTCCATGAACGTCGTCTAAACGCCACCAATTGGGGTGTGAGACCTGTAGGGCGTAAACCGGCCAAAGCTAAAATTTTCAGCAAGAACTTGTCTTGGTGCAACCATACCATGCGCCGTTAACCTAACGGACATCGTTTCACTGAGTAGTCAAATGTCCTAGCTTCAAAATGATCTTCAACAAATTCGAACCACTTACTTGCGACCATGGTTCACCCCGAGGACTTTTTGGTGGTTAAGCATGCGGAGTTGGCTGGGAGGTTCCTCAGCTCGATTTGCACGGAGTTGATGAATCGGTTAAAATGTCTTAATGAGATACTGGTGTATAATGTTCCAGACCGCCTGGAATTGCACACCATTATCGAAATACTGATGTTGCACAAGGTTGAGAAAAAGGGTTAAGGTAAACTCATGCCCCTTTTATTCAACTTCGATAACGATGGATCGGCTCTCAAGTTTCTCTTTTACCAAGGCGAATTTAGAACCCGTTCGATATTCGTTAAATTTAGTACCAGCAAGAGCGACTGCAACGCCGTTACGGTAGATTGACAGATAGCTCCGCCCCGACTAAGTGTGTTCAAGCGAGCTGTGACAACTGTCCGACACTTGTGAACTTAAGTGACTGCCCTACTGTGGATCTAGATATCTCGTCTGATATGGGTACTGGATTGCTTGCTTCCTTCTTGGAAGCATTTGCAAACCCTGGGACTAGTAATATCCACAAAGCCACGATAAACATGGATCGAAGCAGCCAACCTGAGAAGACTACAGGAAACTTCTCAGTGAAAACTACGTGCTCAGCTGTTGATGCAACTCAACCCACTATACCGGAAGGGACAATGGTTGACAAAGTTCTACCACAACTTTTAAATAGGCTTGATAACACAGGCACGGTAGGAAAACACAACGACGTTCGAAGCGAACCCAGCATAACCTCCATTCAGAGACCAGAGCAGCCGGCTCCACAGAGTTCACCTGAGCCGCTGTGGTCCAAGACCTCCGCTTTGAAAACAGCAAAAGCGGAGTCCCTGGCACCATCTTATGCTGCGTGCGGGAACGGGTCGTGAGGCGTACTAGTGTTCAGTGTTATTGACGATAAATCGTTAGACGCATTTCGGCGTGCAGTCATCGCGGTTAATGGCATTGCAGGTTCAACGGCTGACAAATCTTGTAATCAAATTTGCGGTCCCCATCTAATGTACAAATGAATGTACAAAATGCAATTTTTACATACTCTCATAGCTAACCGTGAACAATTTCGCAGCGCAACAATGCTGAGCCAGCTTGCTTTTGAGCCACTCAAACGAAGCATAAGTTGAGCTGCGACCAGTCATAATAACAAAACAAATTTCGGTAAAAGAGAGCGACGAGACATATGGCCTCTTAGACTGCAGCGTGTCTAAAACTACGAAGGCGCCTAGTGCTCACATCGAGGATTGGTGATAATAGAATCCTGCACACTGTAATATCGAATTGCGAACAACTTCGAAGTGATGCCATGTTAAGACAATTGTATTTCGGTCCAACAAGACGGATTCTGCCGTATCTTACTGTAATTCTAGAGTGAGTGATCGTATGGCATTGGAACGTGTTCAACGATCATTTACTAAGCGTCTTCTAGGCTATTCCACCACCCTATCTTACATGGATCGTTGCGTTGCCTTAAAACTTGATCCACTGTAGCTGCGAAGAATGAAACTTAACCTTTTCATCTTCTTTGACACAATTACCCAAAAAATACATTCTTCACGCCCATCGGTACAGCGAGCAGAATTATCAAATTATCGCACCCGAAATAACAATCACAATAAAGTAAAAGTGAAAAGATCACGAACGAAACTGTCTGAAAACTTTTTCCTAAATCGATACTCCATATTGTGGAACAGGCTTCCATCTGAGATACGTGCAATCCAGTCAGGGATGAAGTTCCGACACGTTATACATTCCTTTCTAAACGTCGAAACAGCGATCGGTATATTGCAACCTACTTTGACAAGTGAATCCCCATACGAAATAGGAGCAAGATGGATATAGTATCAATATCATGGGATCTTTTTCTTCTCCTGTTGCCCGATCTTACTGCCCTCCCCAAATTTATCAGTAGCAATAACGTGTTTTCTAAAGGCAAAAATATCCTGATTAACAATGAAGTTCACACTCACCAAGACGGAAATGTGCCCTAGAGTTCCTCTCGAGCAAATTATTTCGCATTTGTTCTGCAACGCCAATTATCTTCTACTTATCTTTTCCCCTGGACCCCTCCCTTAGGTACGAGCTGCTGTGTTACGTGCTCAGCGAAATCAATGTTGATTTAATCCTTCTGCTTTTGGACTGAATCCATTTGATAACACCTTCCGAAAACCTACCATGATCTTCCACGCTTACGTTCACTCTGAACAAATCCCCTCATCGAAATCAGCTTCTCCTCTTACCGCACAC